TCTTATTATTATTATATTATTAATAATATTTTTTTATTATTATCATATTTTATTATTTATTTATCATATAAATAAATTATTTTTATTTAAAAACTTATAAACATATTTTCTACGTTGCATTAAAATATTTTAGTCATGCATTAATTAAGATTTTTGCAATTTATATGATTATAAAATATCAATAAATCTCAAATCTATTTTTCGCAACAAATTAAGTCAAACAACATTCTTTTTTCTAAAAGGGTTCCAAAAAGATTTTGACTAATCACGCATTTAGCCAAAATCTCCGCAATCACTACTCCCGGTCAAATGCGAGGCGATTCAAAATACATTTGCAACCCCTAAAAAACATTAACCTCATACGAACTACGAATTAGGACTCTGATTTGAATTAGGACTCTGATTCTTCATAAGAGGATACGTAGACATACGATCAAAAATCGTGACGAGTTCTCCTATTAAAAAATTAAGACACTTTTCCCTTAATAAAACTTAAAACCCTGTTTTCCCCAAACTTAAACCTAAAATCTAATATCCTTATGAACAAGGTAGATGAAAGGTGCATAACACCTTCCTTTCGTCTAAAGAAATCTGAAACCTAGAATCTTACGAATTAAGATTTTTTGTTAGATTTTATTCCCTAGGATAAAAATTAATAGTATCGACTCTGATTTAAAAACTAATATGAGGAATCTTAAAATCTCATGCTTACGTATCCTCATATTTTAAAAAAATTTAGATTAAGTCAAAATCATAATTTGACGTGACTTATATTTCATACTTTTATATTTAAAATAACGGATCGTTTGATGGAGAAATCCTAATTATAGATTTAACGATCCCTATCTTGCATTGTGGTATAGAATCAAAATATTTGATAGGTGCAAAATGAAAGTGTGTTACACGCACAACATACAATCATGCATTATAAAAGGAAACCTCTCTTCACAAAAAAATAAAATGAGCACTGAAATACATGGGTCCTCTAAGCTGTTTTTCATTGTCCAAATGCCACATGCTCACAACCATTTCCATACAAATAGTTACTTATAATTTGGAATCATACAAGAAAATTTTCCATAAAAAAAACTTAGTAAAATTTAGTTTTGTTTCCTTACCTTTCCTTAGAAACACAACATGGGAATGTACCTCGATTACAGCTCATGCAATATGCTAAAAGAATATATTTCTTTCGTTTTCACTCTTAGTCACAGCCTAGCTTGAAAGAAGCAACTGATATATCAATCACTTTCGTGAAATAGTTTAAAACCAATGAAATAAATAAAATTGTAACCATACAATTACTAAGTATAATTGATATTTTGCTTCAAGCATGGTTTTATTTGTCAGTATAAAATGACAATTATTTATTACTTTATATAATTGAAAGTGTTGGATGAAGTACTTGGTATAAAAGTAAAAATTTTAGAAGCTATGTTATATTATATATAGGGATGGCTTTTGTTGTATATAGTGTTTGGTTTTTGTCATGTTTTGTTTGTTGCATTAAGGAAAAGAGAATATATTCCTCATCTGATGATTTTATGAATTGTGTTACTTTACAATACATAGATAGATCAATCTCTTTTATTCAATTAAGAGTTGAAACTTACTTTTAATTTATTGTCTTTTATGTTGTTTTCAAGCACACCTACTATATATCTTTTGCTCACATGTATAGCTTGATTTTGGATAAGTTATATACTTGTGTTATTGCTCATGTCATGAATGATTGAATGTAACAAGTGAGAAAAAAAAATGTGTGCCTTAAATAAAACTCTTGGAAGGATCACAGGAGTTTGTAAAAAGTGAGGACTAGGATTGTAGGAAGTAGAAACTTGATATGATATATGATACAATGGGATAAGCAAGAGATTGATCATTTTTCATATAAGATCTGTGTATGGTCTTGATATGAGAATATTTGTTAATTCATTTATACTTTTATTAAAAGCTTTTTTTCAGACAAATTATACAAAGTTTTCTACTTTATATTTTGCCACACAACATATAATTTACATAATCTAAAGTGGTTAGAAACAAGAAAGTGGAAATTGGTCATATAAGTTTCATGCATTGCGATTTTATTCCTATTTTGGGTTCTATTTTTTTTTTTTAATTTAGATATGTATTTTTCAATCTCTAAATATTTTAAGTTACAGTGTGTTGCTAGACATTACAAGTTAGTCGCCAAATTGGATAACGGTTTACGGTTCTCGATAGTAAATTTTGTATATAAGTTATTGAGCATATTTAGGCGTGATAATATAATCTAAATTTACGGTTATTTATTTGAATATATCTTGAATTAACGGAGAAAATCCGTTTTGATTAGATTTTGATTTGTGTTCGAATTTTTTCGATTATAAAATATGGAAATGTGTTGAGTAATGAGAACATTAACCCCTACATCAATTCCGTCTCATTTATTTTATTATGTAATTTTATTATTTTGTTTTGATCATTTAAATATTAAATATATGATAAATATTTTGATATTTTGATTTGTATTTATGGTTTAAAATAAGATAAAATATATTTTTGGTTTTTATAAATATTTTAAATTTTATTTTTAGTCTCTATAAAAAATGACATATTTTGGCATCATATAGTTGTAGTCACTGCAATTTTTTAAAATTTTAAAAATTGTTTAATTATCCTTAAATTTTTTAAATTTTTGAATAACTTTTTTCATACGTGATTAAAATATTATAAAATATTTCTTTATCAAATTTTAGAATTTTTAAAATGAGATAAATTAAATATGGATTTTTTAAATTTCAAAAGATATTGATGAAAGTAATGAAAATCTCGATTTAGAAATTAAATTTTGAGTTTTTTTTTCAAGGAAGTTTTTAGAATGTTCTAAACATGTCTACAAAATAATCATTCAAAAATACACATCGGTTTAACAGCAGTGATTAAAACTACGTACGTAATAATTTTGTAGGGACTAAAACATACCATATTTTTTTATAGGGGCCAAAAATAAAATTTGATAATTTATAGAGACCAAAAACATATTTAACCCTTTGAAATATTTGAAATGTATGCATAAAATTTTTAAACATTATATTATTTTATTATTTATAATGTAATTTAATTTTAAAAAAAATAAATATTTTTAATTAAAAAAAATTGATTTTACTAAATAGATGGTATCAGACGGAAATACCTAAACACATTTGAGACAAATTTGAATTTTAACTCTTCATCTCTATTAAAGTTGGGAAATAAAGATTGTTTGAAGATTTATATTTAAATTTGGGGAAATAAAAATCATCTTTGATTCGTCCCACAAACCTAAGCGTATGAGAAAAATTATTCCACAGAGAACATTAAATATAATACGTGGAGTGGTTGAACTATAAAATTAAGAAATACATCAAAAATAAAATAAAGTAATAAAATCCATAAAATAGCTTAATTGATTTAACATGTTAAAGTATTTAACAATATTGTATTTATAGAGAAAACTATCTCATATGCTACATGATTATAGCCTAAAAAATTTAACCACATTAATCTATTTACACGAGTAATGCATGAAAGTTCTCTATGTGATGGATACATAACACCCTATGTTCGGTTTGATGTCATCAATTTCGTGACATGTTTGGTTGACCCAACTTCCTTTGTACTATGGTTGAGTAACTTTGTCCTATTTGGTTAGTGGATTTTGTTATAGTCCAAATTTGTCCAACTCTTTAATAAAATCGTTTGATTTATGTATCATCGTGTACATACCTTTCTATTAGGTCATCTAACACATCATGCATTATTAATAGATAAACTTAGCATGAGATCAAGGATCTTGGAGTTAGAGGTTCTTTATGATTTGAAGCTCTTACCTTCACTCAAGTGTGTTTCAACTGGTTCTTCGTCAATTAGGATTTGTGGAACCATGGTTATGTGTGAGATTTTTTTATATCTGACTACAAGGTTGTCATCTTCAACTAAGAATCTTATTGAGCTAATGTTTTGGTTCTTGTTAATATCTCAAGATGTTTCTTCATTCAAAGAGGCTATGAGTTGGGGCATGGAAGTCCATCTTAAATATCACCCTCTTATGCTTATTATCATCACTTGATTAGGATTTATTTCCCTAATCAGGTGGACTTTAAGAGGAGTTCCATATGGAGATGTTTATCGAAAGAATCTTATCATCCAAGAGATTCAACCATGGTTTAAAGTGCAAGTTATTGAAGAGGTCTTGGTGTATTCATGACAAATTCGAGCTTGTACATCATCTGATTTAAGACATTTCATCTAATTACCTGGATTGCTCGTAGCACAAGTTATTCTTGTAGACCATTAGGGTTTCACATAGTTTGTCATTGATCAGGGCATAACATACATGATTACTTGGATTGCAATTTATTGTGCAAAGCTGAAGATACATGTGTTAGCAAGAACCATGGATCGAGGTTAAGGTACCTAGACGAGGTCTTTTACTTTGGTCAAAATTAACTTCAAAATAGTTGATTTTTGACAAAAGTCACACTTTAAGCTTTTGGATCTATCTTGGGCCATTTAGTCAAAATTCAAGTGAAACATGGCAAAGAGAAATAAGGGCTTAGAAATAAAGGCAAAATGCAGGACAATACATGTTGGAACCTTAGTTTTCCTGCGGCAAGTCCAAGGTGTTATCTTATGGTATTCATCCAAAGGTTTGCAAGGATTGAAGAATAGAGTTTTGAAGTTCAAGATTATAAGCATAATGGAAGGAAAATGTATTTCAAAAGTATGTTCGGAAAAGGGATTCAATACATTCAAAATTTAAAGGCAATTATAAGGGACATTCAAGTTCACGATTCAAATTACCTCACAAATTCAATCTCATTACAGAAGTACATCAATTCATCATGATATTGCATTCAGCTGAATTTTGCAAGTTACAAATTGCACATCTACAAAACCTAAACTCTAAGATGCTAAGTATCATGTAACATCGAATCGTGTCTTGCCATCTTAACTTAAGACCGTGCCTTCAAAGTTGCTTAAGTTTTCCAATAGCCTTTGTACCAACTTGCTGCTGCATAACTATCAATATCTACATCAGACCATGCTTTGCTGGCACGATATAACTTCATCTCCGTGCTTGGCGTCCTACCTTTAATAAGCTGCAACATGAATAAAAAGCCATATCAGAACCAAGCAGTAACAGTTCATCATTCATGAATAAAATCCAAACAATACACAAACCAGAACACCAAAACTAATTCAGAGAAGCTTGCAATCAAAGGAAACCACCCTGTATCAACCGTGAAACCCGCTGCCATACTCCTCTGACCAGTAATGCACCAAACAGTCCATGTCCAGCCCTGCATTCACATAGACCAAACCAGAAAAATCAACACTAACAAAAAAAACAAGTTTAGTTCACTATTATCCAGTCCAACAAAACCAATTCAATCCTTGCATCGCAAACCAATTCAAAATTGAAATAAAGCCAAAGAGCTAATGCTAACCTGCCATACATACACAAAAATATTGACAACCCAGTTATGAACTATTGTACTGATTCCACTAACTGAAATACATTTGAATACTAACATATCCTAATAGGTTTCATTTAACACTAACTAACCAATCAAAAGCTTTCACCCCAAACCCACATGATAAAAAATCAGTATCAGTTCACTCATTCAAAAAACTAACAGCTCAGAAAAATACAAATTCACAAAACCATTTGCAAAAATCAAACGCGAGCATTCCAAAACAGCCTTGCACTTAAAAGACAAAGTTCAAACACAATTTCAAGTTCATGCCTAACAACTCTAACAGATTGATACCCGATTTTAAAACCAACTCTTGGTTCCTAACCAACTTAACCGTGCCATGACTCTAGCTAGCTACTAACAAAAAATCAGAAACTCAAATAACAGTTACTTAATTGTAACTAATATAACAGCTACCTAACCGAATCCCAAGCCTTCTAACTAACTATAACAGAATCAGAAAATCAAAACACAAAAACAGAACTAACCTTCTAACTGTTTATAACCACCTCTCAATCTCACCCTCTATCTCATAACCGACTTTCTCAATCCAATGGCTCAAATCAATCAAGTCCTAATTGAATTCTAACAAACCTCCACAACTATATAACCGTTCATCCATCTTCATTCAGCTTCTCTCAATCATTTTTTTTCAGATTTATCACCATTCACCATCATCTTCTTCATCCTCTCACCCTCACCTTCATCTTCTCCCTTTCTCTCTGCGACTCCACAAACCACAATCACGAACCACTTTCTTCATCTCTCATCATACTCTCGGAATTTGCTCCGGCAGATCTATCGATGAATCACCGGAATTTGCTCCGGCAGATTCCGTTAGTCGTCTTCTTCATTCCGGTGCATAGTTTACCACTCCCTGAGCAAGAGCCCTGAGGTTATGCCGCAAGAATCGTCATCAGAAGCATTTAATTGTAGTCAGAATACTTAGGTTTCTTCTTTCGGTTTTCTTTAGATGTAGAGAGTTCCACGCTGAATCTGTGGAAATCAGTGTTAGATTTAGATTCAGGACGTTGAATTAGACTAGATTGTGGACCGAAAACCACAATTCCCTTGCTAGGCCCGTACACCATTTTTGGTACAATTGAGAGCTGAAGGACAAAAATCTCACTTCTATCTAGACTGTATGTGATTGGGCTTTGCGTTTTTTCTGAACAGCACCCCATGGTTTATTGCACTTTATTTTTCCTTTTGATAATTGTTTGATTTTTTCTAATTATTTTCTTTTCGATTTTATTTTTTCTCATATGATAAAAATGAAAAATAATAGAATAGATTTCTTTTAGTTTGAATAATTGCTTGTGTGATATTGCCATGCTCCCTTAGGATTTTTAATTCAATTCTAATATCTTGATTAAGTTGAATTAATTAGATCTTAGGCTTTAAAATCAAGCATGACAACAATTAAGTAGAATTCCCTTTATTCCAATTTTAGGACCATGATGCATGAATACATTAGGATTAGTTTCTCTTAGTCATTTTCTCTTTCTTTTCCCATTGCATTGTAAAACTAACACCTTTTTCTCAAAGAAAATTCAAAAATACTTAATGAATAAAGATACTTGTAATGTGCCACGAACCTTAATTACATGAAGAGGACTTCGGATACGAGGCATCTGACTCGATCATCCAAAGGTCTTCATGGTATAGACTTTAGCATGATAGGTGTCTCAAACAATTTCAAAACTAAAGGAGATGGATTCAAGTACCCCCAGAGACCACTTGAGGGATCTTCTAACAAAATACTCAACAAATCAAATGTGGTACCTTGCCTTGAGGGCGTAACTCAAAATCTTTTCAAAAGGGTTCGTCACCCATAAAAACACACAATAAACCAACTTTTTTAAGGTGAACTATGAGTGCCCTGATCCTCTATTACTCGAAGGGAGTACGTAGGCACAAAGGTTCACAACCGCGGCGGACACAATAATTTAAAACTTTCTTTTCGTTCCTTAAGTAATTCATGCATGCATTCCCTTAGCAAGTAAGCATTAGATATAACACACTCTTTGATTAGAACAACAAAAGTGGATCATGTGGAGTACCACAGACGTGAAGGGTGTTAATACCTTCCTCTCATGTAACTGAATTTCGTACCCTTTCTCTTGGTCGCAAGACTATTTTATCTACTCCTTTGGGGATTTCTCGATATTATCCCTTCCATCAGGATAAATAAAGTTGTGACGACTGTGTTTTTTTATGGTGCGTCAGATCTGTGTTAGGGAAATGATATAAATCCTTATGGAATACGACATTGAGGTCAATGAATTCAACGCACATACACCACTTGTTTGATGCTTTCCTTACAAGAACCACATTAGCTATCCACGAATGGGTATTTGATCTCTATTATGATATTGGCACTTGTCAATTTATGAACTTCCTCATTATTGGTTGTTCTCTTCTATTTGTAAACCTCGTGTTTCCCTAAGATACTAGCTTGACCGAGGGATTTATAGCGAGGCGATGACACACCACTTTGGTATTTATGTCAAACATATTTGAAGGCTTCCAAGCGAGCAAGTCGACATTCCTCCTGAATAGGGTGATCAAATTTTCCTTCTCATATCCGGATACCAAGGTGCCCAACTTAGTGACTTTGTGAGGCAGGGGCCTGATTTAGACCTCTTTCATATCTTCTGTTGGGAGGAAGAATTTCACTTTCTTCCTCAAATCTTGGATCCCAACTTAGTGTGTCAGAGTCATTCATTTCAGAATGAGTGATAATAGTTAAGGTGATAGGCTTAGCCGCTACTTCCAAACTGTTTAGGTTACACTCTTAGGTGACTACCAGATCTCCTTTGATCGTATCTACGCACCTACTAGGTAAGGGATATTTTAAGCTTAAGTGGTGTGTGGACAGACTGCCATAAGTAGGTTAAGAGAGGATCTCCCTAGGATGATATTGTAGGGTTTGTGGCATCTGCTATGAGATTCGTTAATTTAATGGCCTTGTCGCTGCCCCTGAACCTAATGTTGTTTTAAGGGCAATATAGCCCTTGACCTATACCTATTTTCCCGACAGGCTAACCCGGAATCCTTGGAAAGATACAATGTTATATGGATCCATTTGGGCCCCTGTAAGCTACTCTATAACAGAATGTCCACATAGCTGCCAAGATCGATTAACACATGTTTTACATCCTAATTTGCATGTTGAATCGTGATAACCATAAGATCATTTTTGTGGGGAAGTACGCGTATAACGTCTTATCTTGAAAATGTAATTTCAAGCTTCCAGTATGTATCAAAGACGTTGAGTGCATTTACGAATGTGATGTCTGGTGTTAACACGTGGCATGCATATCTTCTCCGAGAAGAGCTAGATTATCCCCCTCAGGAAAAATCTCCAGTAATGTTGTTAGTGGTCTTCTTGGAACTTTGATCAAGCATCCTTGTGAGAAGATAGTAAGAACAACTAGTGACTGCATGGTATGTGTGTGGCCCAGGTTAGTTTTACGAGGTCTCCATGGTGGATGCCAATTGTATTGGATAAAATCACAATATGCATGACAACCATTAGTGGATAAGGAATGTCAAAGACTTTAAAATAGTTAAGGTATGGAAAGCTAGCTCAAATGAGGTGAGAAGCTGTTATATATGTGTAAGTATGGGTATTATTGGTTATCTCCCCCTTAGTATCATAGTACTAATATATTTATATCCCCTAGGGGTCTTGAATTGAGTGAGCCAAGTATCCATATAATATAGCAACCTTCACGAGAATGAGTTGTTGATACCTAGAAATCCAAGAGATGTAGTTAAGCCCCACGACTTCCCAAGTATCGAATTTTAACCCAATATGCCCTTAACCCTATGGAATCATGTTTTACAAGTATAGGAAGATCTAAACATCATACCCTTGTAAATGATTTTGGTGATGATATCTAACAAATTTAAGTGCAAGCATAACAAAAGGTCAAAGATGCAATCAGACCAAGCAGACAGCGCTAGAGTTTAATGATCATTGTAAGTCCTCTAAATGATGGCACTAAACAAGAATATATCTCAATCCTCATAATTAAGTAGAACTAAATCAAGTGTTTGTATGAAGATTTTATCTGACAAGACTTGACGCTTCAAAGAGAGGAAATATGTGAAAGTTTCCCCTAACACATCTGAGTGAACAAGTATTGTAAAAGCATAAGGGCTTTTTCCTAAAGTTTTACGACTAATCACGCACACCCCGACCCATACACACTCACACTAAAACAAGTTTTATAAATTATTTTTCTCAAGAAAATATTTCTAAAAATGTATTGATGTCGTGTCAAATAAATTGGGAGTTGTTAAAAGAGTTCTGAGTAATTTTTCATACTGGCCAATCGATTGTCACTTTACCCAATCAATTGGGTTAGTGCAAAAATGTGCCCTAAATTTTTAGGACGATGTCTTTATGAATGAAAATGACTATATATTTTCTTACCTTTTTAAACATACTAAACTATTATTTTAGTGCCAACCAATCGATTGGAACATATGCCAACTGATTGTCTCATCAATTATGGCCCCAAAATTTTTCCTTTGTTTAGTCAATCTCTAGCCTATAATAAAGGTTCATTATTGCTTAGATAATAGTTGTCACATGCAAGTATACATGTATGTTTGATTGCAGCAAGTGAAAAAGATAAGAGTGTCGAACCCACAAGGAGTGATGTAGTTACTTAGGTTGATTTTGCAATTGACTATATTTGAGTTTTAAGCATGAGTAGAGAGAAATAATATATGGTGTGTTATGTTTAGTGTTTCACTTAAATCAGATCTACAACAGTGTAAAGAGATAGAGTGGAAATATATCAAGAGTAAATGAGTTGAGCCATGATCCATTAATATTATAGAAGTAAATATGTGTAATGATATGCAATGTCGTGACATGTGAGGTTAGAGTGATCTTGTGGTGTATTTATACAACATAAAAGCATGCATATAAAGAGAAAGGGAACAAATATCTAAGCCTCACTTATAACAAACGTCTGTTTCTATTCTGAAATCCTCAATAGTTATAGCTCCTTATCTCTAAGCAAGCTAGGTGAGTGAATATTTCTATCTTACTCGTTCAACCATTTTTATTAAGAAAACCACTTATTGTAGGATCTCTCACAATAACAAGTTTTTATCTACTCCTAAGTTGATCATTCAAAGAAATAGATTTATAACATGTTAACATATATAAAACAAGTCACTTAAACACACATCATATAACATAAAAACAACTTAATATAAACTTCACATTGCTCAACTACAAAAGGTTTAGCGCAAAATAAATTGAGTACAAACTGCAAGCATGGTTCTCAAAAGGAACATCCTTAAACAAATAATGAAAAAGAGATATAAACCTAAGAGAGACTTGAGAACTTCTTGAGATGGATAATCTTCAAGTGGTGACTCCAGTCGCGCCAGAGCTTAGCAGTAGGTACATGATTGGGTGAGAAGAAAGCTCTTTCTACTCTCCACTTTCCTCACACTTAGTATCTTCTATATTTTCTCTTAGGAATGTTGAACTTCTTCTCAATCTCATCAAGGTCCTATTTATATATTTGAGCTAGGGTTTTAGTGATGCATTGAACATGGGCCTAATACAAGGAAATCACATCAAGTCCACGTAGAAACTAACGCCATCACTTCATTTCCTTTGCTAAGCTAACAAGAAACCAGATACAAGGAGACATTGGTGGGGGGACAAGGTGTAATATTGCAGACTTCCACAACAGGTTTCAGGCGGCACTACCCAGACTGCGTATTGTATCTTTGTATTATTATTATTTTATCTTCTAGCGCATTCAACCTCATCTTTTCAATTTTAATGGTATTCTCTATTTTTTATCTTAGCAAAGTTTCCCTCCATTTCCTTCTTCCTTCTATGCTATTCCTTGAAGCTAGCTGATTGCATTATTAATTTTCCCTTTTCTCTAAGTCCATCTTCTTTTCTCAGCTCATGTTTCTTGTAGCAGACCACTGCAGTCTTGCCTCAGCTCGACAATACTAACCTTTATTTACACAAAACATATTAAAATAACAAAAGGGAGCACCTATTGTGCTCCAAACTACACTTGTAAAGTTAACTAAAATGCAGTAAATTAACAACTAAAAAGAAATTAAACTACTGATTAAATAAAGATAAAAGCATGTATTAACTCAAAAAATGTGGGTTAACATCCATTCTCTC